GAGGGTCGGAGGGTGAGGGAGGAAGAGGAAAAAAGAGGAGTGCATATCAAGGGCTCAAGTAAAAATGTTTTGGAAATGATGATGGCTGCATATATACAAATATGCTTGAAACAATTGATGTATGGAATGTTATAAGAGCTGTAAGAGCCCCCAATAAAATGATTTAAATAGAAAAGGAATTTACTGGTATTTTATGAGTCAGAGAGCAAAGTTAGACATTAGCTATGTTCTCATGAAGCTTGTTAAAATCTAATAAGATAATGGGAATAAAATCTTCAGGAATTTAAATTTTGCTCACATGTGAAAAAGCATGATTTCCAGAAAACAAATGTAGCCTTAAAGTCCTTCTAGGAAATATAGTCAAAACTTTGTTCCAGGTATTTTAAAAAATATTCTATAGTGTTGAGAATGAACTTGTTTATTAGTGAGATTTGAGGTAGACTCAGAGAATTGGAAGTCAGACTCTTTCTAGTCATGAGCCACTTTTTTTGTGTGAATTGTGCTAAAAATGATCCTTTGCTCAGCTTCGTGTAAATAAGCTAATTGAGTCTTTTTTGTGTATAGCATAGAATTGACCTCAGCGGAGGATATGAAATAACAACACATTGAAGCACTATCAAGAAGACACATTAAATAATCCATTTTCCATGACAGGATTGTTTTCTTACCCCTCTGCAATCAAGACCCAGACTCAAAAGCACAAATTTCACTTCAGCCTAAAGCAGAGAATCATAGGCTTCAATAAGGAGAGGGCAGCAAGCCTAAATGTTGATGTCCCTTCTTCAGTTTCTAGAACCAGTCTGTGGAAAGAAGTGTTTTTATAAGACTCAGACAGAATTCATTTCCATAGAGTGTTCTTAATGGCTCCTGTCAGAACAAAACAGCTGGGAAACATATGGTATCCATTTCCCTGTATCACTTGGAAAAAATGCCTCATGTAAATAAAGCCAACATAAAAGAGTAGCCCTTTGAACCCATGACCTTATACAATACATAAATATATTGGTACAATGCATCCGTTGTATTGACCCACTGAATCATGTACCTTCACATTTTTTTATTGAGTCTTGAGGTGCACATTTTCAAGAAGTTATGATGAAATCAGAGTAATTGGCAAAACATTAGCAAACCATACCTAATAATACGCATGTATCTCACAACTGACTCTGAAATATACAAAGGTTTCATACTATATTTATAAATCTTCAGAAAATTGATGAGTAGAATTAAAGGCATGCTTATACATTATAAACCCTATGACCACTATCTCTTTGCTATTTTAAATAAGTAAGTAATCATGTGTCCTTGTAAAGAGGACAGAAAGACGGCAGAAATTTCTGACACACATTAATTTTTCATGAGCTTTACATTTTTAGGGATAGAAACACATATAAAAGCTAGGAAAACTCTTAAATGTATAATGGACCCCTCAGAATACATATTTGCCTTTGCAGATTTATATTTCATAAACAACTTTGAGAAATTCAGGTCTTGGTGATAATCACCCCTTCTGAGGTTATTAGCAGGACTTTTGTTCCTTATGAAATTAAGTTGAAAATCCCTGAGAAGGGTGCAATATGAGCATTTTTTTTAAAGACCTAATGCTTTGTTTTGTTGCTAAGTGAGATTCAGCTTTAAATGCAAAGATGCTTCCAAAAGTTTTATTATCTTTTCTTCTCATTTTCCACGAACTTTTTGAGGCCACTTCACATTAGCATTTATTAATTGTCTCCTCTGTGCCAAATACTGCCCAACTAAGAGCTCAAACCAACACAAGGGAGAAGCCAAAGACTCAAACTCAACTCCCGGCCATCGAGTCCGTTCTGACTGTAGGCGACCCTTCAGGACAGAGTAGCACCAACTGCCCCTGTGGGTTCCTGAAGCTGTCACTCTGCACGGCAGTAGAAAGCCTCCTCTTTCCCCGGAGGAGTGGCTGGTGGTTTCCAACTGCTGACCTTGTGGTTAGCAGCCCAACGCCAGAACATTTCCTGTTCCACTTTTTCCTTAGTAGAGAGACTCCAATCCTCTCTCCAGAACTCGTAGTAATCACTTCTTAGACTCTAAGATGCCAGAACCAAAAGGGCCTCACAGGTGGGCAGTTGACCTCAGAGCCTCTAAACCCACACGACAAACCACAGGTCTGTGGAAAAGCACTGGCTCACACTCAGAGCACTGTGACTCACCTTCTACTTTGATTCCAGAACTTCACTGAACCCGTTAGGAGTTCCCAGCAGGAGAAAGAATACCAATGGTCCACATTTAGGGAACTTTAAATACATCACATGCCATTTTCCACCCCAGGAATCTAGTGACTGCACAAAAAATCACATGCATCTACATGCTTTCAGGTTAAATGCTTCCCACCTGCTCCTGTCCCAGAAGAAGAAAATAGATACAAGGTCTCTAGGTGGAGGGCATGTTCCAGAATCTTCCCCTTTTTCTAGGGGAAATTACAAGCTAAGTGGAAAAGGAGCACAAACCCATCCATGAGTGGCCTGCTGACTTCCACGTGGGCTGGCTCATCTGGTGACTAATTACTGGAGTGTCCCAGAGAGGCGGCAGTGTCATGATGGTTGGGGAAGACTGGTTTCTCTACTTGCTTGTCCTTGAGAGGAGGCACACGTGGCTTCTCATATGAGCCTCACTGGGGCTGGGCCTGGTTCTAATCGTCCACCTCCAGATGTGTCTAACTGTTTCACTTTCTACTCCATCACAACCAGACACTTAAATTCAAACCAACCCATGGCCTTCATCTAAACTTTGCACAGTAATGAGAAAAACCCAGACTGCTATTCCACCTTCTTTTTACTACTTCCTTCCAACTTACTTATTTTTCCTATTATCATTATGCTTCTGTATGTTCCAACTTCCCCAACAATGGAGGACCGCGTTCAGTCCCGAAGAACATGCTCTGTTGTAAAGTGTTGGTAGATTAGAATGCTGCTTCATGTGCCAGAAAGCGTCGTCATGGCTGTGTGCAATAGGTGACGGAGATGCCTTCTGTTCTTCCCCTAATCCACATCCAATAATCACCCAGTAGGTCACACTTGAGTCTGGCCGGTTTTAAGTAATGCGGCCCCCTTCTTTATGTGAGACTTCTTAGGCCCCCTTCTTTATGTGAGACATCTTAAAGGTACATGTAATATGGAAGTATATGCACACACGTTCCTTAGTTCCCTAACTTGGTCCAGAAGTTTATTTAACATGAAGAGTCACACCCTCTAACTCTGTTAAAGTACACATGTGGTTAGTATGAAATGCTGCCAAGGCAGTGGATATATCCAGGGAATAAACCTAAATATCTGGGTCTATTTTTCTCTAGCTTTCTGTTTTGTTCTGCTTTAATTAATTTTTAATATGCCTTAATTTTGTTAATTCATTGTATTCCAGTGGTCGTTATGAATTATTTGCTTTGTGGATATACGTTCTCTCTAATCCATTCCTTTTACATAAGAACTTAATTTGAGCATGACTCGAGTCGACCATGACTGCTCTCAAGGCCAGGATTTGTTCAGCAGTTCACTGTCATGTTCTTCTCTTGTAATCTCTCGTTGTTGTTAGTTTCTAGCTCTAGCTGGAATTGTGGTGGCTCCACTCTCATTGCCAACACACAGAAGCCCACGGGAATTGCAGATGTGTACAGCAAGTTCCGTCCGGTGAAGCGGGTGTCTCCACTGAAGCATCAGCCAGAGACCCTGGAGAGCATTGAAAACGATGACCAGAAGAAGCAGAAGGCGGACTACCAGAAAGGGGGTGAATCTGAGCCGGCCCCCCTGCCTGAGGCACCCCGCCCTGGAGATGGAGAAGTTGGGGCTCCAGGGAAGGGCACGGAGCCCAGCACATTGCTGGGTGAACTGGAGCATTATGACCTGGACATGGATGAGATTCTGGATGTGCCTTACATTAAATCCAGTCAGCAGCTTGCCTCTTTTACCAAGGTCCCTTCAGAGAAAAGGGTTCTGGGCTTATGCACAACTCTCAACGGCCTTTCTGGAAAAGCCTATCCTTCAGGAAATGCTGAGAACCCACTGTGCAACCAGACGCCATTTTGTGTTCTTTCTCCAGTGAAAAGCCCTCACTTGAGAAAGGCCTCCTCTCTCCTGCCGGACAAGCACAGGCTGTCCACCGAAGAGCTGCAGAGCTCGCCCCCTCTGGTTCAAGGCAGCTCCACCTACGAGCCTGAAAGCCAGAGCAAGGACTTCCTACACAGTCCCTTTAGCGAACCTCATAACCGAAACGTCGAGAAGGCAAAGCCAGACTGCCAGCACAGGGCCTTCCATCTGCAGGCTTCGGCTGCAGAATCCAAACCAGAAGAGCAGATCGGTGGCTTGAGCTGGACTTGCCCCCAAGGCCCAGAAGAAAGGAGTGAATATGCCAAAAAGGCAAAAAGCATCTTGAACATTGTGAAGGAAGGACAAATCTCTCTCCTGGTAAGTATGATCTAGCTCTGTCTGCCCGTGAATAACCTGGGCACTCTATTGTGATCCACACCACTTCTCAGTCACAGAACGGTGATGCACTTGCTCTGGTTCTTGTTCTGTTTCATCCTCACTTACGGCTTTAGTGGAGGGATGTGACTTTTTGAGTTAAAAAGAAAGAAGAAGAAGAAAGATATTAACCTAGGGAAAGACAAATGGCTGTAGAGGGAGTGCTGTTGTTATTTTCGCTTTACACAAGTTCAACTGGGACGAGGACCCAGTCTAAAACAAAAACAGAACGAGTCCGGCACTTTCTTCAACTTGAATCTTAATGTCTTTTGTTTCCCAATTGTTCCCAACTCTCACTCGGTTGTCAGTTCCTTGCTGATGGTAAATATCTGCCAGATATTTAGACAGAGGATCTTCTGTTTTATCCTGCTCATTATTCAGAAGACTTGGACCAGGATGTTTGAAAATCATTTGCAGATAGAAACTTGCCCTAGAGCTTGGTTGCCCTCTGACCCACATGGCGTTCCAGCTCCGAATGTCTAGGGAGCATGAAAAATCTCTTTCAAAGACCCTAGACACAGATTTACATGATGTAAGAAAAGCCTGTTCCGCTTAGACTTAAACAGGAATTGCAGACCATCTGCCTACCTTGTTATTTTTTGGCTTCCATGCTTGGCTCAAATAGTACCAAACCTGGGTTGATATTACAATGTTAACTAAAGCCCCATTCAAAGAAATTACCATTTCTTAGCTAGTTATCTAGGGCCACATCTAGATAAATGTAGATGTGCTCAGTCCATTATCACAACTCTCATAGCTTCTAAAGGACAGTATGACAGAACAGTGTTAAGAATAAAATGATTTTTTTAATTTCCATTTTATCCTAAAAATGCCTTTTCCCTTCTTCCTTGTTCTTCCTGTCTGTTTCTCTTTAGCTTGTAGCTCTCTGTTGTTGTTCTTTGTTTTCCTGTTGTCCAAATGTAACACCTCTCAGTTTACCCAGCAATACCTATCAACCAGTTCAAGCTCAAGTAACTAAACGTCTCCACCCATTGCTGTGGAGTCAATTCCAACATATGGCCATGTGTGTAATATGTAAAATATTATGGAGTAGAACTGCACTGGGGGGTTCTTGGCTGCAGTCTTCCCACAAGGTGATCGCTAGACTTTCCACGGTGCCACTGGGTAAGTTCAAATCACCACTTTTAGGTTAGCAGTTGGTGACCCTAGACAATCAATAGTCTGGTTAGGTTAGCAGTTGGTGACCCTAGACAATCAATGGTCTGTTTAGGTTAGCAGTTGGTGACCCTAGACAATCAATGGTCTGTTTAGGTTAGCAGTTGGTGACCCTAGACAATCAGTGGTCTGGTTAGGTTAGCAGTTGGTGACCCTAGACAATCAATGGTCTGGTTAGGTTAGCAGTTGGTGACCCTAGACAATCAATGGTCTGGTAACCTACAGACACTTTGGAGTTCGGCGGTGAAAACGTCTAGATACCCTCTGGGAGCACCGGTATCTGCAGCCATTGTGCGATTTGAAACCAATCAATACTCTAGGGCAAGCCAGAATTCTGAGCTTATTCACTCAACAAATGTACACCAGGGGATAAAGCAAACCTGGGCACAGCAAGGCCTCGGTGGCCGGGAGAGACGCATGCATGAGGAGCCTGTCACCGAGTGTAAATGTCACTGCTGTTACTTAAAGGCACCTGAACACGCTCATTGACTCTAGCCCCTATCACTGTGTCTACATGGAGACTTGGCAGTTGAGAACGTAGGTTCTAAATATTATATACAAAAGAAGTATAACAGGAAATCATTAGAATTATAGCACAAAACTGGTTTATTAGATCCCCACTTCTGCAGTCTCATCTCTTCTTCCCAGTGACCAGAGCAAAAGGTATCCCTCAGCCCCACTCCCCACTCCCCGCAGATCATTCTGATTTACTGACGGTAGTGTTCTATTGTTACTGTTTGTATAGCCACATTTAGCTGCTGACCATCTGGACAAAATCCACGACGACAGGGGAAACAATCTGCTGCACATTGCCGCATCCCAGGGCCACGCCGAATGTCTGCAGCACCTCACTTCTCTGATGGGAGAAGACTGCCTCAGTGAGCGAAATGCCGAGCAGCTGACTCCAGCTGGCCTGGCCATCAAGGTGAAGGGTGGGGCTGGGCACTCCAGATCTGAACGTTGCCTTTCTGTGCTTTCCAGATCCCCACTGAACTGAACTGTTAGAAGAGAGAGAGAAGCAAGCCGCGCACGAACAGATCACATTTAAGAGGGGAATCATTTTTGTTGTTAATGGTTTTAAACACTAGAGCGTACCCTCCTCACTGCTATGGAGTCGATTGCAAGTCACAGTGACTGCCCTGGTGGGGAATCTTCCATGAAGGGGCTAATGGCTTTGATCCGACCCTGTCGTTTGCAGCCCACCCTGTAACCCTCCACGCCACTAGGGCTCCTTGGAGAGTGTATGTCAGTTTATTAGCCAATAGATATAATGAACTTCAAATCAATTAGTACAGGGAAAAGAAAATGATTCGTTGTGGTTCTAAGAACTTTTGCTTTTCATGGTGACTGGAATTTAGACTCTTAGTCATACCTGTCTCTGTCAGAGACAGATGAGGAAAAAGTGTAATTTAAGGGATGATAGCAATTAAGAGTATTTCAGATAAATTATTGCGAGTGCCTGGAAGGTTTAAGTGTCTGCAGTATCTGGAGTGGTTAGCATATGTGCCCCAGTTTGTGTTTAGATCTTGCAGAACACAGTGTTTTGCCAAAACAACACATAAAGGTGGTGGTGGGGGGTGTGTTCAAAAATTTGTAGGAAATTGAAATGAAAGGGAATAGAATTTTTCCATGAAGTTCATTTTAATTATATCTTAAAAGAAAATTTCTAATCGTGAATTGGATGAATATGTACAAAGCAGATCTGTTTTCCATTCAACAAGTCATGCACACTTTGTCTCATATCATTAATTTCATTCTCCACAATATGATGTATTGGTTTGACTTCCTCACTGCGCTCCCCATTTCCGTCCCTCCTCATTTTGTGACCATTCTGAACTTTGTCCTTTTGATCTCAAATCACGTTCTCTGGCATGTGTACCCCTTTGTATTACTGTTCCTTATACAGACCAATGTATTGCTTGGCTGAAAATTGAGCCACTGGGCAAGTTCAATTTCAGATCTGAAGGGTGAGTAAAGGCCAAAATGTCTTGGGTTATACCAGTCTCTATTTTCAGTCTGCTTTGTCTGTTTGCTTTTCAATGATTTTGAATTGTGTCCCATGTTTTTCTCCCACTATCCCCAAGATCTCCCAATGTGATTCTGTTCAGAGCACTTTGCAGTGGTAGCCAGTCACAGTCTGCTCTGAGCTGTGGAGACTGAGGTTCAAGTTGTCCATTAGACTGTTGGATTAATAGTTTCCGTGCCGCTTCAGTTTTCTCCACTCGTCTTTTCTCCAGACAGGAAGAGACCAATATTTGCGTCATAGACACTCCAAAGGTTTTCAGACCTCCGTGGTTACTCACCAAATTAGGCTATAACAAAACCAAACTCACAGCCATCAAGTTGATTCTGACTCATGGTTACTCAAGGACAGGGTAGAGCTGCTCTTGTGGGTTTCTGAGGTGGGACCTCGTGAGGAGAGTAGACAGCCTCATCTTTCTCCAGTGGTGCTGCTCCTGGTTTTGAACTGCTGACATAGTGGTCAGCATCCCTGTGCTTAACCAGGGCTGCTGTAAGTGGGTTATAGAGTGCCATTATGCTCTATGCTGTGCCAATTGACCCTGGTGTCTCCAGAGACTGTGGACTCATTCCCTCAAGACACTTGGCTATGTTGAAGAGGTTTTCATAGCTTTTCCTCCTTTGTGCTCTCCACATTCATGGATTTATTTACAGCAAAAGTAAATACCCATGTACAAATACACATCTGTCAAACCTATATATAGTGTTGGATTCACTACCACTCTCCCTGCTACACTGCTCTGTCCTGTATGTTTATCCACGCTTCTATGCATAGATCACCACTACTGCGCGTACGTAACAGTGCTTGCCCCTATTGCCTCTAACTCTTGGACTATTCTTAGTGTCTTCCCCTGCTTCCGTCATGTTCTGCCAACCTCCCTCTCGCTGTATATTGCTTCTCTTCCACCCAAGTTAGCACAGCTGCTCTCTAGTAAGTAATTACCTTCCCTTCCCCCTCTCACCTTGATAACCGACGAGGAAAGTATTAGAACGAAAATTTTCTTGAATTTTTACGAGAGTGATCATCTGCAATATTTGTCCTTTTGTAATTGACTGGTTTCGTGTAGCATAATATTGCCCAGTTTCACACATATTAGGAGGTGTTTCACTGGTCGAAGTTATTCTCTAACTTTCTGTAGTATTTCATTGTGTGTATGTGCCAACGTTTATTTATTTGTTCTTCCACGATGGGCATTGAGATTGAGTCCATCTTTTTGCTATTGTAAACAGTGATGCAATAAACATAGTGTTTCCACAAATTCCTTGAAGCCCCCTCATATTCATGCCAATGGGGGAATGTTAAATTAATGCCAAGTGTTAAAATCTAGAAACTCTTGTACAGGAAATCATGGGCTTTTAAAGCACTGTTGTAAGTGCCTCTGTGAAATATAACCCATCACTGTAAAGTTAGCTAATACACGCAAATTACTTTTACAATCTTTGGCACCTCAGTATAGAATTCAGTAATTAGGAAGCCAAAGTGTAGTCCAGAGGAATAGATCATGCACTTCTGCATATGCACTTTGCTTTGCATAATAATTGTGCTTTCTGAAAGTTCATGATCATAATTCTTATAAATGGATTTATAAGTGGAGAGACTAGCAAATGAAAAAAATCTATTTGTGAATTCTTTAGAGAATGTTACATTAAAAAAATCCGTCTATATTTTTATAACTTTGAATTTTTATATCTTTAATCCATTTGCCACTTGGTAGAGTTTGGATATATTTAAAAGTTATTTTCTATTTTATTTAATTTTTCTCAAAGGAGGGTATGATTTCATAAATAGTGTAGGAGATATTTTTTTTCAGCTAAAATAAGAACTTTAAGACCTAGGAAATAATCATATTTGAAAGATGCTATGATAAATTAAGACACAGTATATAGGTAGTTCTTGATTTATAAGGTATTCAAGTTATGATGAACTGTATTTCATACTTTTATTTTTATTTTGTACATTTTATAGTGTTACATTTCATAATTTGCTGATGTTATTCTCAGATGTTTACTCCTAATTTTTCAACATTATAAATTATTAAAATATTGATAAAATGAGACAAGAGTAATGAGGAAAAAAAGGAGGTACACGTCTCCCGGTCTTTTGCAGATCTTTTCCTAGGAGGGTCTTTAAGGAGACTGTCGGGCTTCACATTGCTTCTGTCCGGGTCAGCCGTGGCCAAGGAAGCACCAGCAGAACGGGCTCAAACACAGGGGAACAGGAGCGCTCTCTGCACCGGGAGAAAGCTAGATTGAAGCTTGGCTAGAAACGTACCTTCCGCCTTGCAGAAGCAATCAACAGCAACTAATATTTCTTAACTTTTACTGTGAATTAGGTGAAGGCTTTCAGCTGATCAGTATTATATTCAAAATCCATATACATTTAGAAGCATTGGAACCCCCACGGGGCATGTGCATTTCTTTCAAATCATCCACTGCAGTCTCCTCGACGTCCCATCGTTTATTCACCCTTTTCCAAGTGATTCCGTTACCATTTCTCCTTCCTTCTGAACCCTCTGAACTTTGTCATGATGTGAATGCTGTCTTTCTGGTCTTCAAATGGTTGATTAATCTACCACAAGGGTGCGTTCAGTTCCTTTGCCCTCATATTTTTTTCTTTTTTTAATCATTTTTAATCGTTCTTTTTAATCGTTTCATACTACTCTTATCACAATCCATGCATACATCAATTGTGTAAAGCACATTTGTACATTCATTGCCCTCATCATTCTCAAAACATTTCCTCTCCACTTAAGTCCCTGGCATTAGGTCCT